ATGAATTAATTTTCCATCAAAATACATAAAAAAGGAAGATAACATAGAGATGAGACCTCTTTAAGATTTCTAAACCATTTTCATCCATCCTCGAAAGATCTTTAAGAAGAGGTCCCCATGAAGCCTGAATTAATCAAATTTCCAAAAAAAGAAAAAAAGAAAAAAAGAGAAGATAATTAATTAAATTCTTTATTCTAGCTAGAAGAATATATCCTTTCATGATAACCAAATTAATCAAAGCAATTACATACCACAAAATCTTCTGGAGAAATCCAACTATTTCCCAAGGCAATACCTTTTTACCAAAGATGAAGAATATCAGAAATTCTTATATTCTAAATCTATATGTTTTTATTTGAATTAAATTAAAATTGATATTGCAAAGTTACCCCCAAGTTGAAGGTTGAGTTTTCCTGCTTCAATAGCTTTAATGGCAGATAATCCCAGAGTTACAGCAAATTTCCCTCCATAGGACTCTGCAATTATGTAGAGGGGAGATTTCTGGAGAGTTTTATTTGAATTAAAAAGCTCCTTCAATAAGGTAGTTAAATCAGCTGCTGCATCTTCATCTGTCTTCACTAACAGAGACTTGTCTTCCACATAACTAAATCCAGCTCCCACCGGATTGTCCTGAATTTAGTAAGGGAAAAAAAAAAATTACAGTTACTTAGATTTGGAATAAATTTTTGACAATCAGAACTAAAAATTAAAAACAATAGTCATACTAAACGGAGTCTCAATGTTTAATTTAATTACAACAAATAAGAGATCAGCCTTTTTAAGCCAAGTGGAATTTCTGGGGTGATATTTGACATCTACTGGTCCAATTTCTAAGAAATTTCCTAGTCCAACACCAGAGGTCCCCTGTAATTAAATTGGACAAACATTAGAAGACAATTCAGTGTATTTTTTAAATAATTAGGTATGACTACAACTGAGAGCTTAAAAAATAGATATGACTGCTACTAACAGGGCCTCCTTGGAGCCAGAGTATTGTTGGCCATGGATTCGATGGATCTTCAACTCTGTATGGACTTCTATAAAGCCACCAAAATAAATGTGCTTCTGCATATTCCACAATCCAATAATACAACCATTAGAAACTTAGGATTTGAGAAAAAGGTTGAGTGTAAAGAAAAATCTGAAATTGGAGATCTCTTGATTCCTTGAGTTCAGAATTACAAACAAGAGTATAAAAAAAAAAAAAGAAAAGAAAAATCATCTCTTGTTATATAATGCACTTAAATTTACTAAAAAAAAAGGGTGAATACTAACTTGGTCGAACTTCCACGTATCCCCATTGTTCAGAACCGTCATCAGTTCCTGCAGCCAAGGCACAATGGCCTCGGAACAAACCCAGAGAAAACACAAAAGAGAGAATAAGAAGAAGAAGAAGAAGAAGAAGAAGAGGAGACTGTTTTCCCATGGCAGCCAACGTTATGAATGGGTTTAATGTGGCACTTGAACGCTTGTGAGATGCTCTGTTTTTGGTACTATCATCCTCTACTCCCTCCCTCTTTATACTGTATATATAACTTGTATTTTTAACTGGGGAAAAATAAAAGTTTATGGGAAGTTATTGTGCAAAATTGGAGAGGACAACTAGCAATATTCCAAAGGTGAAAAACAAGGCACCATTCATCTAGAATAAACTAGATTTTGACTTTGGCTCAAAAAACCTGCCCGGTACAGCATGCCCCGTACATGCATCTCGAAATTAAGGAACGATCCATTAATTGAAAATTTTTAATTATTACTATATATACAATTTAAGCAAGTCCCAATTACTTCCAAATTTGAAATTCCTACCTTTCAACCTAGTGCTACTTCATAGTCATGCATGAACATTGTGGGAAATGAAAACTAAACATTTTTTTAATTTAAGTTTGTTTAAACTTTAAAGAATTTTATTTGGGGGTAAATATGTGAGGAAAAGTGATTGCTTGCTCGCTAGCGCACAATCTTCCAAAACAAAGAATATAACGTTTTTCCCCTTTGCATCACCTCAAAAATAAGAATTATTACAAGATACCTCTTACGGTCTTACCTTTACTTATTTTTTTTCTACGAAAAATATGAATTATATATATTTTTTATTTTAGTTTGGACAATTAAGATGTTTTCAGATTAATTTTCCCTATGACACCCCCATATTAAACTGATGCATTTAAGAAAATTAATTATTTTAGATACTTGTCCTCTTAAACTCTGCGCATGTCTTACAAGAGAACACTTTCCTACCAAGATATATTTACTTACCTATGGATCCAGGTTTGGTATTAAAAATATTAATTTTTGCACATGTTGAACTTGGACAATTAAATAAAGAGAGCCAATGGCTATATGTTAGAGATTACAAGAGTAATCATCATATGGGCAAATACAAAGCTATTAGAGTAAAAAAATTATCTTTACAAATGACCAAAGCTACTATATAATCTCTACTGGGTAGAAAGATTAATTAGCAAACCCACACCTTAACCATGTTGTCGACAACTATTCAAATCTAGCTTCACAATCACATTGTCTCATTTCTCTACAACAAGTAAAACCCAATGAAATCCATTAAGAAAGTCCAGACAAAGACCCCAAAAAGAAGAATACAAACCCTCCTTGAGAGAGAAAACCTCAAAAAATGAGAGACAATCTTACCTTTATTCATTATTTCTAACTGTTGAGTGGGAAAGAGATGATGGCAACAAAGGAGAAAAAAGAAAAAAAAGTGAGAGAGAATTATAGAGAGAGAGAGATTAGGGAAAAGAGTGCAATTAGAGATCTTTGACATCAAGTTTTTTTTTTTTTTTTTTATCTTGATTGCACAATAAAAATCAATTCTCTCTCATTCCTTACTTTACCCCACCTACATACCATATGACTTGAAACCAAAACTTTTTACTACTAATAGAAAGAGATTATTACTAAACTAGTTAGATCATTGACATTTTTGACATCAAGTATTAAAGAGTATTAATTCTAGTCAAGTTTTTTATGGTATACATTGTTAACCATTCAATCAAGGCCTCCTTGACAAAATATTGTTCTCCCTTATATGATTTTGTTATTCCACTTTCTAAATATAAGTGGTTGTGATTTAGTTGTTCTATTTTTCATTTTAATAAAAATTAAATGTTAATATTTTAATTTTGTCATTATCTCAAAAGAGATAGGAATGCATTAGGATTTTTGGTTGGTCAAACCCCTAAATTTGACAAATTCACTCCTAAAAAAATGTAGGGACAAATTGCTGTTTTAAATTGTCAAGTAAGGTAAATCAACTATTATATAACGTGTGATATCATTACAAATTAGAAATCCATTTGCCACCTAAATCTATTTTTAATATTGAAAACCCGATATATGATGATGTCACATATTAAAATACTAATTGATTTGTCTTGCTCAATGATTTAAAGGGGTAATTTGTTGTTGCCTTTTTTTAGGTCGCAAATATGTCCTACCTTTCTATTCGGGCATCGATTTAGGGATTTGGCTTTTTTTGTTTAATTATAAGTATGAGTGAACATGAAAAGATAAATATGAATCACTGTAATAAATGAATTTCTTGATAATCATAAATGGATAAAGTGGAACCACTAAATCAAATGGGAGAGAGTAAAAGGATTGTCTTTTGGTAAACTTGGCTATTCCATCTATTTTGTTTAAGGATTCGTTTGCTAATGCTTTGCACAAACTTTTTTTCACAAAACACCTATATAAAAATTTAAATTTATAATTTGTAATTAATTTTAATTTAATTTAATATTGTTTTATTAATTTTAATCAATATTTTATATATTTTTTAGATTATAAACAGTAAAAAATGTACCACTATAACACAACGCAACATGGACAAATGAAATTTAAAATAATTTGGTGTAATTGGCTATTGGTTTTGAATACAATAATAATATAATTACAATATTATGTGATATTGTAACTTACATTTATAACATATTATTAAATGAGTGAATATATACAATATCATAAATAAAATTCTAAATAAAAAAGCTAATAATATAATAATATGTTTGAATTATAAATTTACTATAGCATGTGTTATTATAATTATATCACTTTCATTTTACATAAAACTTCTCTCTAAAATAACTAAAGTTTTGATTTATAGTTCAAACATATTATGGTCTAACTAGCGAAAGGCAGAATTTTACAGAAAATTATATCAAGTAGTAAAGTGTTTTAAATTAAGGTTGTCAATACCATATTTATATCTGTATTGGTTTTTTTTATTAAGATGGCATATATTGGATATTGAAAATTTTCATATACTATTTTGGATTTATCATTATAAATATATGTTTTTATATAAATTAAATATACAACTACAGAATTACATTTAATGAGCATAAGACAAATCAATACTTAAAAAAACTAATTTTTTTAAAATTAAAAACATATTCAAAATGACAAAATTCATGAAATGTTAATATTATAATATTAAAGGGAAATAATGCATCAACATATTTTGTATTTATTTACAAAGATTCATATATTTATTTGAGTCTAAATCCAACCCAACTAAAAAATTAAACATTTATTCAGATTTATAATGTATTTTTTTCAGGTCTAAATCTAACTAAATAATCATTTGACCTATTTAGTAAAAAATAATAATAATTTGAAATCTAAGTCATGATTTATGTATATATATTGAAAACGGAGATTTCTTCTTTTTTTTTTTGACTAAAAAATAAGTACATTAATAAATGTATTTTTCTGAAAATAAACATGTTCCACGAGATCATGTGATGATTAGTATTTTGTTTGTTGTTTTATTTTTTTTTTAAAAAAAAAACCCATACTGGGCATACTGGAGTACTAGTTAGTATACCAAAATACCAGCCGAAATGTTAAAATTTGACCAAAATACATGGTATTTGACCATAACAAAATTTAACTTTATACCATTTAAATTAAGCCTAAAATCAGTACATATCCGCCGGTACAAAATATAATTTGATAATCTAGCTTTAAACCCTTACATAGTTACATGCCTCAAATTCATATTTAATTTCCTTTATTCTGGGAATGTAAACATATCATCTAAAATAAAAATTCAAAAAATTCAAGAGGCATTGTAGGCCAAAAACACATGTTCAATCATCAAATGAAGCTTTCATGTGATATGATAAATCAATTTGGGCTATTAGTACTAGTCATCATCATTAATTGAGCAACCTTTGGCTTTGATGTGAACATTTAAACCACTCAAATGTATCAGTTTATTTATTTATGGTAACGCTCAAATAGTCAAATGTATTAGTTCAAATATTAATTATCCTCATACAGATTATATGACTTTTAAACAATGATTTAAGGCGTATGCTAATTTTCACCAAATAAGCAGTCGGCACTCGGTAAGTACCTACTTCAAATTTAATGGAGCCACCATGGGACATATATGCAACATTTTTTACTTAAAGAGATGACAGTATAGAGCTTTCGCCAGAATGTGTGGTCCTAACAAGGTAGAATTAGCCCGCCATGTTAGAGCCCCAATTTGTCTTGGGCAGTAAATTGCTTTTATTTTTATTTTGGTTTGACTATCAATATATTTTGAGTAGTTTGAGTTAGTTTGCATGTAACTTGAAATTATTCCTGCTAGACATGATTTGAAAGACACACTCACACACCCCTTATGACTTGGTGCATAGACATGCTTGTCATATAAGAATAATACTTATTTATTATTATATTCAATTTTTAAAGTAACAATATATTAATTGCTCTAGTGTCTGAAAAATCAAAGATATCCTTACACTCAGGACGTCCATCACAATTATTCGTTGAGTGAGCCTCAGAGGTAAGGTCCACTCACGGATGATTATGATGAACGTTCTGTGCGTCAGGATGTCTTGATTTTCATATTTTTGGAATTGTTAAAAGGAGAAAATGAATGAATGTTTTAATGGTCTTTTTATAAGTTGAAGGGTCTGTTTTCATTGCCCTATAATTTTAAGGAAGAGGCAAGGAGCTACCTTTATTAGGACCACGCGTGCCTCACGGTGCAACTCAATGACCTTTTGAACTTGGAAATGGACAGTCTGTATTAAAAGGAGATTAACAGAATACTTAATGTGGATATTTAGTTTGATTCTAATGGTAGCACATCACAAACACACAGATCTTTATGATCGAGGGAAAAAGAGTTATGAAAATAAATCCTTTACTTGAAGATCTTATCGTCATGGTAATTCACATTACAAATTTACAATCAAATTTATTCAATGAATTAAAAACTAAACAAAAATTAATTAACATAAAGTTAAACTATACTTATAGAGTTCAACAATGGATTATGCTCATTTTCAATTTATTTCTTACTTTATTGATTAAATTATGAATCTACACAAGTTTTCTTTTACCTTTTTACAGAATTAGTACTAGACAAAATAAAAAGAAATGAAAACACAATAGACTAGATAATGCATAGGACATATCCTTTGCTTATGTTGTCTACCATAGATCTTAAAATCAACCATGGAGCAAGCAATGGTGGTTCCCAAGTCATCCATCCTATCTGTCTGTATATATTTAACATGTATGTTGTTTCTTCCATTTAAGACCAATCAACCTGGATAAGAGCTGCCACGTGGCAACATATTAGTTCATCTTTGATCTATCATTATTAGTCTATAAGGTAACATGGGCAATTATGATTCCATCCTCAACATACATGCATTGATGCCAAATAAGAGGAGTGGGATTATTATTGCATGTTAAATAATTAATATCATATTTTTTTAATATAATTAATTATTATATTTTTACATTACATTTTAAATAAATTAAAAAGTATAATGGTTAATTAAGATAAAAAAAGTATGACATTAATAATAGAAGGTGTGGGAATAACAATTTAACACTAAGTGTAAGAAAGTTTGTTTAATTTAATGATTAATAATGATAATTGTTTATAATTTAAACACTTTTATTTATCATATTAAATAAAATCATTAATCACTAATATTAAACAAACCTTTAAATTACATTATTACAACCAAAAAGAGTTTGCCGTGATTCGATCGCGCTGAGTCCAATTAGCAAATCGGTTCTTGCCATCTGATTGAAATCTATTTGCCCCTTTTTTCTTGCTGGCTTCCACATCTTATCAATTCCCACCAAGGGATGGATGCACATCAAGAAAAGCACATAATAAAAATTGGAGGTGGGCCCAAAAATTCATGACAAAAAAATTCAAAAATTGATGAACTCATAATAGATGGATGAGGTTTGATTAGGCTTTGGATTTATTTGATTAAAAATCAAATCAATTTTAAATAATTTAAGTTTTAATTGTTTAGTCTAAAAACTAAAAAATCCATGATTAAGGTGAGTATAATTAGAAAAATTCACCCAAAAACTTTTTATATAAAATTTTAATAGTTTTTAGATTTTTTTTTAAAGTTTTCCAGTCACTTTTCACCAAATTCATTATTTATTTAGATGATTTTTAGTTTTTTAGTGATTGATATTAATAAAATAATAATTAAGAAACTTTGAAAAATCATTAAAAATATAAAAATAATTTTTCAGTTAAATTTGAATTCCATCTGAATAGTTACTTTTAAAAGTATAACTAAAATCAACAAAACATATATATATATATATATATTTAATTTAATTAGTTAATGATTACTAAAATTTAAAATCTAAAATTTTAGTTAGCTAATAGTCCAATTTCAATTATAACTAAAACAAAGCCGTATCCATTGCTAACAAAAATGTGGTCATTTTCTGTATTTTCTTTCCTTCTCCTATTTTTATGCACCAAACGGTATCGTTTTATATTGTAATTTGAAAGTCCAACCACCTTTTGGTCCTTTTGTTTCTCCTTTTCCTTTCTTTTCTTTCTTTCCTCCTTTTCTTTTTTTGGTGTATATTTCTTTCTGCTTTTCTTCTTTCACGGAAAGAATACTTTTATTGTGAAGCTTTACAAATCCCCAATTCATGGTCTTTTCTCTATCTCATCCTTATGAATAGCATTTTTCTAATGGTTTTGGTTTAGATTTTTACAATTTTTGACAATAAGACTAAACAGACCCTAAATAATTTTCAATTACGCGAATTAGTCCCATAATATTCATCTTCTATATATATATATATATGATACGAATTTAGAATGTGTTGAATTTCTAATTATGTTTAGCTAGCACGACCAAAATCATTGTACTAAATCTAGATCCAGGATTGCGCACTTTATTTAATTATGGAAATAGTGATTCATTCTGAACTAACACAACCTGTCATTCTCTTCTGTCATTTATAATATAAAGATTTTTTTAATTTGTATCTTAAAAATATAGGTTAAGCCACATTAATTACATATTTATAATTAATTTTATATAAAATTTTACATTAGATCTAATTAAAATAAAATATATAATATAAAATTAAAATATATTATATTATAACATTTGTACTCAAAACGTATAAAAAAAAAGAATGGAATTGATCGATATGGTTATAAAAATACATACAAAATTAATTATAAATATCATAATTAATAAAATTTAACCTTTAATTTAAAGGAACTAGTTACACAATGCCAATAAAATATATTTTAATGGCACACTTTATAGATGAGTTTCATAATCCGTCCGACAGGAGATGACAGTTTTCCACTGCACTGCTGGAACCAACCCAACAATGTTATGGAACATATGGTGCCGCCATAACATTACCTATAACTATTCTATATTGATTTAAACAACTTGGCTTACTTGTTTTACAGGATTATCATATGTATAATACATAACATGTATTTAATTTTGATGCTAGGAAACAATTGAAAACTCATAATCTATATTTTATTATTTATAATTCAAAATATTCCTTTTTTTATATTTGAAAAAACTGTACGTTTCTTAATAATTTTTTTGGAACAAGGCAATTACTAAAACTTTATGAGGTAAAATCGTGCAAACATGTTGACACATAAATTTATGGATAATTATATGTAGACAATTTATTTTTACAATTTTTTCTTTCAACTTTAAGACTAATTTTTCTTTTTGAATAACATTAATGGCACATTTTTCACATCGATTTAGTGTATTCAAGAAATTAATTTTTCAATTACAAATCTCAAGATTTGAACTCTAAATCTAATATACAAAACAATGTCATTTGTTTAATTCAAATATCTAAGTGATAATAAATTATTCAAAAATTAGATCCACTTACACACAAATTTTATATATCACACTTATACAAAATTTTGACTATTTATCTCATTTTCAATTGTTAAGATTTATTTATTTTTTATTATATTTATTAAAAATAATTATTTTTTATATAAAAAATCATGATAAATCTTAATTATTGAAAATAAAAAGATGAATGGTTAAGATTTTATATATGTGTAATATGTAAAACTTATATGAAAATACATACTCATTATTCAATAGTAACTATCAATTATTAGTTGTTTTAGAATAATTAAACCAAAACCGCCTTAATTTTAGGTTTAAGACTATTTTTTTCCTTTTGTTATACCAAAAGAGATTGTTAGAACGTTCTAACATTTTAAAATATCAGGTTTCTATATAAAATTATTTTAATACTCTTAATAAATTTTTTTATATATTGATTTATTAAGTGTGTTTTAATTTTTTTTATTATCAATTCTGCTATTTTAATTAACAAAATGTCCTTATTTTCCTTGATCTGAATTTGAATTAAGAAAAAAGTCTAATAAAAATAATATTCACATCATTCTCCACAAAAATCATTTCATTTCCAAATTAAAAAAAAAAATACTACCATATTTTTCTCAACTCTATCTGTTCACAAAAAATATCATCAAAATTGAAAGCAACTGGACTCATATGGACCCCTCTAATTTCTCAAATCCACCGTCCGATTCTGCCACGTGGAATGAAAACACGTGGCGCAGTCATGTAGTGATGATTTTATATGAACGGTCGTGATGCCTACGTAGAGACGAAAACCAAAGCTAGCGTAAGCGCCAAACCTATCCTGTCTATCCATCCTACGGTGGTGGATGAACTTCAGCCACCACGACCCATCTCAGCCGTTTGATCTGCACATTAAAATCCCCCGTTTGTTAATTTATGAACCTTGCCCCCTTAGTCAGGCGTTGTTTTGTTGTTGAATTCTAAGTTGCAGTTTGTTTGGACCTCTCACCTCCTCTCTCTCTCTGCATTTTTGATCTCTGAGTCTTTCTTCCCCTCCATTTTCATCCACCAAATCCGACATTTTGGTGACATTAGATCGCATCTCTTCATTTCTTCAACTACCCATTTCCATAAATTCAGTTTTTGGTAAAGGTAAGAACTACATCTCCATCTCAATCATTTGTCTTTGGTGTTATGCTTATTTTCTTCTTCAATTCCGCTCCACAGGAGACAATGTCGGTGCCGCCATGGCTGGAATCATTACTAAGCTCCGCCTTCTTCAGCGTCTGCCAGACACATGGGGATGCAGCAAGGGGAGAATGCAATATGTACTGCTTAGACTGCCAGGGAGATGCATTTTGTTATTATTGTCGGTCATCAAAACACAAAGATCATCAGGTAATTCAGGTGAGTACTATCCAGGAATGAACCATTTTCCGATTTTTCCAGTGTTAAAGTTTCACATTGATTAATTAAGGGGATTTGGTGTCAAAATCCGATCCTCTCCATCTATTATCAATTGATTTTTTCAATTGTTTTCTTTTGTAGTCTTTGTTTAAACAACAATGTGGGTAATGTTATATCTTGTGTTAATTTGTTTGGTGCAGATAAGGCGATCTTCCTACCATGATGTAGTGAGGGTTTCGGAGATTCAAAAGGTTTTGGACATAAGTGGGGTTCAGACATATGTGATAAACAGTGCCAGAGTTCTGTTTTTGAACGAGCGGCCACAGCCGAAGTCTGGGAAAGGAGTAGCTCATCTCTGCGAAATCTGCGGTAGAAGCCTTTTGGATCCACTTCGTTTTTGTTCATTGGGATGTAAGGTAATTAATCACCATTTCTCGCATCATCATCATCATCATCATCATCATCATCATCATCATCATCATCATCATCATCATGTGATGATCTAACATGATTCTTCCATGCCTGTTTGCGGTCCCGTCATGGGATCATGATCTACATTTTTTGGATTGATATGTTAATTTTATAAAATTAATCCGTTTTTAATAACTTAATTAGCTTGTAGGAGTGAAGAGACATGGGAATGCAAGCTTCACCATAGATGGAAGAGGAGAAGAATTGCGTGAGGGAACACAACAAGACATTTACCCGTCCACGCCTTCCCCACCGCCTTCAAGTGCAAGGAGAAGAAAAGGCATTCCTCATAGGGCACCTTTTGGGTCCTAAATTTCAAAAGTATACAATTTTATATATATATAAAGAACTACTCTTAAATTGGGGGTCTTTGTCCTAAGAAAGGAGAGTGTAGGGTACCCTTTTGGTTAGGGTCTCCAATAAACAAAAGGGCAAGTAAGTTTCCCTTTGGGGTTTGGGACCCATACGAGAGAATTCCCTTCTTGTGAAGGAGTAATAATGGTGAATTTGTTATTGGTATATTATTGCAAAGGTGTACATTTAGTTGTACTGATTAAATTTAAGTAAATTTAAAAAGCAATTGTCTTTGTGGAGGAATCATCACATTTCTTGGTTTTCATGGGGCCAACAACCACATGGTCCGTTCTCATAAAGATACAACTTTCTATTGTTTAATACAAATGTAAAGTATTAACTTTTCCACAAGCAAACAACTTTTCTTTTGATTGTTACAAAAACTCAGTTTTGAGTTGTGATGTTAATTTCTTTCTTTCAATTCACAAGGTTGTTTTGGAAATGTATTTTCGAGGAGATGTATTAAGCAGTTTCCACAATTAATTTTAACCAAAGAGGCCATCCTAGTAGGTAGAGTGGATATTGATTGATGGGTACCTTGATGGAGATTCTCAAACCGTGCATCTTCCCACCCAACCATTTATATATAATATATGTATCTAAGTATGAAGAGTATTATTTTAGTATTTTTCCTCTAATTGTTTTGGTTAGAAGTATTTTTCATGTAATTAAAATAATAATAAACTAATTTGAAACTATTCTAGTTAGTTTTACAAAAAAAAAAATAGTGTAATTTAAATTTTATTATATTAATTATTGAATAGAGGTTGGGTTTCTTGATATTAACGTCTTTTTCTCATCTAATAATTTCTGTTTTGTAATTTTAATTTATAATCCAATATAATTCAAATTATAAAATAAGATTCTTTTAATCCTATAACTTAATTAAATTGTTAATTTGGAAATTGTAGTCTAAAAGACGAAACGTAAAAGTGATGAATATAATCATAGGATTTATTTAATTTATTTTCAAATATTTTAAGAGAGTTATTATACAATTTATTCTATATAAATTATATATTTTATAATTATTAATAAAACAGTGAACCATAGCAATATTACTAAGCCCGCGGAAAAGAAGTCACTTGTAATAGTCAAGGAGATAAAATAGACAGGCTGACATCTTAAATATCTCAAAGTCTGATTTGAATTTATCTAACCCAATTATATTAAAAATAAGATGGTTACTAAAAATTGAGAGCAGACACTCGTTTATGATCTATGGGACAAAGTCCAGCTAAAGCAACATTATTTTTCTTTTGTGTAAACTAAATTATTGTTATTAAACCTGAAATTTGTTCTGAAACTAAATCATTTCAGCTGGCAAACCATCTGAAATCTCAATAAGAATCTGATTTGCAGTGCTGGCGGTGCCAATCCGGAGTTGGGAGAAAGACCTCAACAATCTGGAACATTTCCTAGTTCTGTCAAACTGTCTCTTCAGTTGTACCTTGTAGGAACAACCAGAAGAAGAACATGAAACAGCCATCCTTTCACTCTCTCCTCCTAAGTTAATCAGAACATATGACTGATCCAAGGACAAGGATCTCTTTAACTCAGTCCTCAGGTGTTGTCTAGGCAGCACAAAGGATGCACGGTGTCCGAGCAAAGCATTACTATTGTTATTATTATCAATTGATCCAGCCCCTGAAGCAGATGAACCATCACCACTGTCTTGATGCAAATTCCGAGTCCTTTGACCGTCCAGATCGTCGCCCGAAGGTGGAGCAGAAGCTGTAGAAGCTGTAGAATCCAACTCAGGAGCAACAGGGGACCTGCAAACAGGGCAGCTTGTGTGTGCAAAGAACCAATTATCTATACAGGAGAGATGAAATATGTGCCTGCAATCCAACAAACAACAGTTTAGTCGAGCTGGTACTAATTAATTTTAAAATTTTGATGCAACTGAATTTCAGTATATTCACATCCAGTAATAATTAAGCATTCTAACTTAATTACATGTGCCTGCAATTTGGCAACAATCGAATGGCGTCCCCCTCCTCCAACTCTCCCAGGCAAACGACGCATTCGCTTTGATCGGAGTAAAACGGGCCGCCGGCCTTTTCCTTGGAAAAAGTCTTAATCGGTATGGTTTTGAGGATTTTCTCTTCGACTCCGGCAGGGAGTTGTGGGCTTTGAATTGGTAGGGAGCGGTTGTCGTTAGCATCTGCTTGCCGTCTGACGCAGTATCTAAGAAGAAAGAAATAGTACGCGACTATTGCGAGGGTAGTTGCGACCATCCCGGCCATGGAGATCATAAGTGGTGTTACAAAGGCCGAATATGTAGATTGAACCGGTGACCCTCCACCGTCCATGGCGGATCATCATCCACTGGAATGTTTTTCGAGCTGATTTTGAATCAAAATTCTTGGTGTTATAAGTGGGCTACTGCCTACTGTTGACAATTTTATGTTCTTAAATAAGGACAGAGATTGATTGCAGTGTGGAAACACTTGCGTTAGTTCCAACAAAGATGGTTCTCTGTTCCATTTTTGAACCAGGGAGATACAAGTGGAGTGTACAGGTGGGATCTTGACTCTCGAAAATTGAGAGGGTTCCGTGTGTATGGATGAAGTTTTGGACAAGTGTATGTCTTACAGTTACATGGTATCATGGTGTTGGAGAGATATGTCACAGGTTATGTCACCTACCACTATTATTTGGTTTTGGACGGTATAGAAAAGTGTTTTTCGCTCTGAAGTCTGACCATCTATGAATCGGCCAGTTCTTGATATTAAATATTTATATTTCTATTAATAAATAAAAATAAT